TTAAAATTTAATAATTCTGTTATTATAAATCAAAAACATCTGAACCATGAAATCTTAACTTCATGATTAATAACAAACATTTTTTGTTTCAGAAATATATTCATATTCTCAAGTTCAAATTAGAAAAAGTTCGTTTACTAAAAAAATTTTTTTTTCCATATATTTTATATGATCTGTTCTTAATAGGAACAGTTTTTGAATTGTTGTTTTATTAGGAAAAGCGATCATAATAAGAACAAGTTCAATTACTCGTAAAATGCTACTAACTACAGGTTTAATTTACGAGATAATAAAATAATTTTTGCATCATTCGATGCAGCAAATATTTCTGCACTCAGAAATGTAAAAAAAGACTTCACAATTTTAAAATTTTGATTAGTAAAAAAGCAAATTACTGACATCTCTGAAAAGTCTGTTGTTATTGAGGATATCGACTATATAGTAAAATCAACGCACTTTGGTTCTTCGTCAAAAATGAATATATTTGAAAATGCTGGTATCATGATCAATAGCGGACAGATGCACATACAGAAGATCTGTTAATAAAATAGAAAGTAAAAACGTTCATTTGTATCATATTACAGTTAATTGAATTTCTTTTATACGAAAAATTCAGTTTTTTAAAAATAATGCCTTCTTACGGAAAATTCTAAGATTTTTATTCTTCAATTGTATTCCAGAAAAAGAAATGTTAAACTTACCAACATGCTGATCCAGGAATTGTGATATTTCTGATCACGGAGACAGCCATACCACTTTTGATCAAGATGACGTTGCACAGTTTTGGTTGCAAGAAAAACGGTTTTGTCGAGTTGTTCTGCTAGATCTAATGGGCTTTTGTTAAAGTGAAGCGGTGATTTTCTAATAAGAATATCAAGAGCACACTGCTCTTTCTTGGCAAAACACATGTCGATGATAGTTGAGGCATGAATAGCAAATTCTCTGTAAGACATATTTTAAGAGTTATAAGAAAAAAAACAACAATGATAAAACATATTAACCGTCCTATTCGAACATATTCCATTCGTTTTTCACGCTCAGGTGCTTTTTCAGCAGCTTTCTGATATATTCTGTTGGCCAGTAGCGCTGCTATGATGGAGTTCTATATCAGATCCCGTAGACTGGTGCCTTAATATTATGTTCGTAATTGTATGCTTACCGATGACCTTGAACACAAATAAGTGGCCATCCTATGATGATTGGCAAATAGTGACCATAAAAATAATTCCATCACCTGCATTGCAATAAGAAAATCAGTTGATATTCTATAGGAAACATGTCATTTAACTTACCGGACACTTCTTCATATCATCTGGACTGATGTTTAAGTAAAGACTGTAAAAACGCATACGGTTCGATTTAATTTGTTGATTCAATGATTGGATACCATCGGTATAATCAGACTCCCAAAATGGCAATGTATCTGCCGACTAATGAGAAAGTTTATAACGATAGATTTGAAGAATTCACTCACAAGTAGATCTTGATAGAGCTCATCCTTGTCCATTGATTCTTGTAATCGATCGAATGAAGCTCCATATTCAATTAATAGGTCGGCAAAACGTACTTTATCCGTTCGTATGGAATGTTTTAGTTCTTCATCAAGCTCAGCATCCTAAAAGACGCATTTCAATTGAATTCAATGACATATTTACGTTACCGTCCATGAACCGATAGTTTTCGTGGTAAGAATATCTTTTTGAGCAAGATCGAATTTATTCCAAGCGATAGCCAGTCTCAATTCTTTGATTCGTTGAGTTTCACTTTCCTTTGTCATTTTCGTTGCTAATACAAACAAATTTGATCTAACTATATTACTATGCCAGAGCTAATGTGGGTAGAGTCCAAACGTAAGAAAAAGTAGTCTTGTGATACCTATGAAGTGTCGACCTGTGTGTTTCAATTTATCCATGTGCAATTCTGGATTGAACTCCTACATATTTTAAACACCTCACTGTTGTCTATAATGGGATTGTCTTACTGGAAGACAGTGAGAATGAAACTCCTGGCAGAAAAGAATGCAGTATGCGCAGTGTCAGACACTCGCTCCATATCTCTACTAGATATTTTTATGAAAGTGCTTGAGAGACTAGTCCTGAAGCGGTTTCAATAGGTGTTGGCGAACAGAGGAATTCTTCGTGACTCCCAGTCAGAATTTCGATTCAATTTTAGACGGCAAACTCGGGTTCTTTCCTTTATTGATCAAATATCATTAGCAATGAACAATAGTGCCCTAGTGGCGACGACATTCTTTGATTCTAAGCAAGCCATTGACCAGTTATGGTGGGCAGGATGCTTCGGAAAGCTAACAAGATTAGGAATCCCATATGTATATGTGAAATGGTTAGCAGTGTGATTGGAAGGCAGACAAGGATTTAATGAAATCGGTGGCAAAAGATCGAGGATATTTCTCATTCCTATAGGAGGATCGCAGAGTTCATGTATTACCCCATCGATTTTCATTATTTACCACAGAGATATGCGAACTTACTTAGAGATCTCCCTGCCTAACTTCTTTGTGGATGATCTGACATGTGTCCTCAGTGGAATGATAGGACTGAAATGCACTCAGCAATGCTCAGATATCGAATCCCAATTGAAAAACCATTTGACTTAGTAGAATTTTACTCCGTTCCAGCAGTATAGCCCCTGGACTACTCTGAGACGATGGCACTGTGGAGTACCAGAGCGATAGGAGGTCCGAAATTTGATATGTTTTGTGATGGCAATAAAGTCACCTGAGTGAACAGTTACAAATACCCCGGTTACTACATTTCGAGTAATCTGTGGTGGAGCAAAATGCTTGACTATGTAAAAAATAAGCTTAGACAGCGAGTGGCCATATCCAGCTCGTGTCATCTATAGGACTCTACGAGTCAGATGTTTCGCAGGACTCTCTTCACAATATACGCCTTCCCACCTCTTCTGCTTATACAATGAAATCGGCCTTACGAATCATTGTAAAAAATGATGGCGTAAATATCTCAAAGCGCTCAGTAATTCGGTAGATGATGAATTGCTTCTGCAATCACTGTTCCTAAACATCTATCGTGATCAATGGCTCTCTAAAGATCTAACTGTAAAAAGGGTTCATCGATCTAAAAGATTCGTGGAATTTACTCTGAGTATTCAAAAAATCGTTTGCTGGTGTAGCAGGAGTGATGATAACTCGATTCTGTACCTACCAGCAGATGACCTGCTCACGCTAGCCCTCTGGCCTGAATCCTTTCTTCAATGTTTATGTTCTTTGCTACTTCTTCTCATTTGGTCTCATGCTAGGCGAGTAGTAATGCTGGTGTCCATATGTACATGTTGAATCTCACCCATTATGTCTCCTACTATTTTCTTTCTCTGACTCATTGCTATTTTCTACACCTTCTGATTCTATGTCTTAATAGGTCCTAGAGGCATTACTTAAGTAATATACTATTATAATAAAAAAAAAATGATCTAAATAGAAAACAAACGAACAACTAAGTATACTATACCATTAAGTAAGGCATGTAAAATGGTGTCCTCAAGTTTGTTCTCTCCGTATTCATTTCGCAATTGAAATGTTGAAATGAGCATGTAGCCATTATAAGAAGTCAGTTGTTTGGCAAACTTCTCACAGTTATTATCTTTGAAAACATCTTGATAGTCTAGTAATTTTTTCCATCTTTTTTGACTAGAAAAAAAATACAATAGCATGTTTGCAATTTATTGACAACTTGATACATACGCATAATAATCATTGCATCTTGGAAGAGCTTTCGTATAGGCCTCTTTCGAACGCCGTGCTTCACGATCTGTCGAATTATCTCCGTAAAGGTATTTGTATTCTCGTATGATCAAATCTGCTGCCCGATTGGTGTCCTATAAGATTCGTCATATGCATGAGATTAAAAGAATAGTTCTGTCATTTACTGCAATGACAATGATAGGAGTGCCCTGCTCGAGTGCTTCACACACAGTGAGAATGGATGAAGGGCCACCGTTGGCTAGTATTTGTACGATGGAAATACGGTAATCTTCGATGATATAAGAGAAAAGTTCTACAATTAAACTTGTTAGTAACGTCTTACTTTTACTTATCTGATGCTCAATTTCAGCGCGCATTTTGATTGCAAGATCAGGTCGATGGGGAGCTTCTGCATTGCTTGCTTCTGAGACTTCGCCCAACATATCATCCAACAGTACAAAATGTGTATGGTTCAAATCAAGAGGAGAGTTATTTACATCATCTATTGTCAGTCGGCCACGATATACTTTATTTTGTGTCTCATACGTTGTTGAATGCTTATAATTTTGTCGACTACAAATAGAACCAATTGGAAATTATTAATAAAATTTGTCGATTCGAAAAACTTGAAATCACTTTCTAATTTCAACTTCAAATACTATCGTTATTGCTTGAGTTCGAATTGTATAACAAAAAATGAAAAGTTCTCACGTGGTTTATTAGGTGTTCGAACATGTTTTGTATGCAATTTCAATGAATTATTAAAAAAACTTAGTTTTTGTTTATAGCACTTTTAAGATAATTTCAAATCAATATGAGATTGGTTTCAAATCGAAATTCAAATTGTAATTGGAAAGTAATTTCAAGTTGAAACGCAAATTAGTAGTGATCCAATTGAAATATGTCGAAAACAAATTTGATCAAATCAACAAATTTGAACAAACTTTGTTCGTTCGACAAATTTTCAATTGATATTATTTACAGTCGATAAAGTTGTTGTTACCCTACTTTTCTTCACTGGCTATTGGAGTACCAATTGGCAGAAGATTGGTAGGTGAGTCAAACGAAGTTACATTTCTAGCAAGATCACTTAGTTTCCTAAATAACGAAGTTCGTTTGGAAAATTGATCACATTGTGACGATCTCTTTCGCGAAGCATCACGATAGCTAAGATGGTCATGATCTGAAAGAAATCTTCAGATTAGGCATAAATAAGTTCAAATATCGATGAATAGAAAAATATACCAGTCGTAAAATACCAATTGGCGATGCCGATACACTTAACTTTGGAAATTATTTTGATGTTGTTATAGCGACATTTCTCAACGATATTACCCACCTCTTTCATCACGCCTTCATGCGAACCTTCAGTGATAATCCATGCGTCTAATTCAGAAAAAAACACAAAACTACTCTATGAATGTTGATCTCGATCAATTTGTTTTTGGTTAATTTCCGAGGTAATTGTTATACGTACCTGTAGTAACAGCAGCAGTCATCAGTCCGCGCTGAAAAGCAGATTGTATTCGTTTTGGCAGCTCGTAACGACCGGTACCGCCCGTAACCGAGATAAGTAATTGAGGTGAAGGTAATTTCCAACCATGGCGCATCAAACCAACAATATATTCAGCCACTTGTGTCTGACTAGGAATACTGCTTGTACAATCATTGAATGATCTATTTGTTTGATGTGGATCGTCTGGCTTATCTAAAAAGTATTTTGCAGAACTCCTTTCCTCTACAGGAGTTTTCTTATCATCAATATCCGGTACAAATGGTACGCGAGCATACTAAATAGTCAGCAAATAAATGCGTGTATTCATATTCAGATACATACTTTCGCGTGATGCTCGTTTGCCGCAAATATTATGTTACCAAAATCTTGTATACTAGATTGAATCTCAGATTAATGACGACGGTTTTGAGGAGCAAACAATTCAACTTACTAGAAGTCCCTTGAAATTTTGCTGTTATATTCTTCATTGACGTACTAAAATTATCATGGGCAAAGATAAATACCAAAAGACAATTCGTTTTAAACCTCCTCGCTCTACTGTCACAAATCTATTTTTATTCTAGAATAGCATATCTTGCTGAAGTTTTCAAGAGAGGTGCGTCTGGACCTAAAAGCTTCTAATAAAAGATTCAGTTCAAAATATTGAGTTCTTCATGAGTAATCCTTATATTAAGGATCAAAAAGTAGATCGACGTACACCCTAGTTTCTCTTCCAAATATAATGATGCACACCTGGAGTCGACATCAAAATATGGCCAACACTTGCTGCCACAACATATCAGAGCCCGATTTTTAAAATTCTTCTTCATTAATTTTTGGTATCACTTTTTCTCGAAAAGTTCGAAAAAATTGGGGTGCTTCTGAAGAAAAGATCCTTTTTTCTTAAAAAAACAAATAAGTTAAAAAAAATTCTGGCTCTGTTACATTTTGGAGCACATTGTTTTCTTCAATTTAAGACCTTTCTGAACTTTCTAGCTTGTAAAATAGGTGGGAAATCTGGAACGCACGAACAATAAAAAACAAAAAACTTTGTTTTCAGAAAAATACCAAGCAAAGTTGAATTTTGGAAATTCAGCTTTTCTTCTACTCAGAGCGATCCAGGAAAGACCATACGGAAGAAACACATGAAGCACACTTGTTAAAGCATGTGGAGTATGTTCTGTAAGTCATAAACCTATACACAAAGTCATTGAGCCTCATAAGCTAAAATTTACCAAACGTTTTCTGCTTGCGAATTTTTCACAAAATCGCTTTAAAATCATGAAAAAAGAACATCAAAAAACCTTTCAAAAGCATCATAAATATCAAGAGTGATAGTGATTCTAAAAATAGAAAATGTGAGGAATTTAACCATGCAGAAAACTCAAGACTCGATATTTTTGACTAGGCATGCACCAAACTCACTAAACCGCTCGAGTTTGTGTTTAATTCTTTTCTATCAAGTCTCTTGTTTATATTTCAAATATCTCGATGTATATAGAAACAAGCTAAACCGTATCGCTATGCTTCGCATTGCCAAGTATCATACACAAACTATTTGATCCTTGATAATGTGAAGCATAGGAATATGTTTTGTCTTGTTTTTATATATAAATGTTTGTAATGCAGAGAGAAGACTTAAAAGAAAACAACTATACACAAACCCAAGTAGTTTGGTGAGTTTGAATATTTGATCCAAACCCAAACCGTTTAGATTTTGTGTATGTTTATTTTTTGACAAAAATTGAAATTCGTCATGGGGAAAGAGGAGGGAGCTTAAGTTTAAGAAAACAGTAATGAGTTCTAATTTACTATAGAATATGTATAAATAAACTCATTCATGACGATTATATATATAAGTAAAACAAGTTAAAATTGTTTGAAACTATTTCTGACTAATTGTGTATTTAAGACGAAACAATAGGTATTTTTACTTTATTTAAAGATCTGTAACATTCATTAAGATTCGAAGTAACACTGATGAAGCTACTTAATGTTATACCTTTTGAAAGTCGATCTGATTGGCATCAATTACAGTTGTGGAGGGCATGACGAATGAATATAACGGGTTTTGTCTGCTGACTGCTTCTGCGTATGTCTTCTTTTGTGAGAGTCAGGCCTTTATCATAGATACAGATATACGTCCAGGTTATCAATACCTCTTCTATGTTAGTCGTATAGTGTTGCACGTGTGTTACATTAAAAAGAATTGTGAATATTGACACAGGAGAAGAGTGAGAGAAAGAACGTGTCCACAAAGGGTGGGGTGGGTGTGGGTGTCGGTGTTTTGGCGTAGGTGTTGGTGTGCGCGAAAAAGAGGCATACACCAACACCCACACCCACACCCATACCCACACCCACACCCACACTCATACCCACACCCA